ATAAAAGGGAGAGACACAAATTGACAAAGGTGGACAATAACAGAGGATGTGCGAGACAAGAACAGCGGACATCAACAGGTGTTGTTGGACTATGTCTAAGGGCTGGATGTGGGGGGGGGGGGGGGGAGAGTTTTCTTGCAAAGTTACAACACATTTAGAGAATACTGTTGAAATCTGTGGAATTACTTTTGGTCAAGAACGGGTATGTGAGGAAAATCGTATGAAAACTCTTCAACTGAAAATATATTTTTAAAGGAAAGGCATTTAATTAACACACCATTATGTGCTGTGAAAGACAAACACACTGACAGATGGATTCTCACACCATCTGCTGCTAGGCCAAACTTCTGTCTGTGTTCAAAGGAAAGTTAAAAAGTTGCTGCTTGAAGGGTAAACCCCGAGTCAATGTTACTTCTTGTGGCTGAGCCAGAAACCCTGGGAAAAGCAGTTACTTCCTGATCAGAGAATAAAATGGCTGTGAGTTCAGGAGCCAAAGACAGAAAATTAGATTTATGTTTGTAAATGATGATAGAAGAAAAAGGTAGACAATTATAGTATTCTTTTTATATATATTTGCCATATTCCCCCAAAGGATTCCCCAATATGCTTTGTATGTATGTACTTTGCGAGCACTTAATATATCTTACATGTTGAACGGGATTAACTATTACTAGAAACATATGTTTTGTACGAAGTGCCGATCACAATCATTCATTTCAAACTGGTCAGGGTATTTAAAACTGTTGATTTGAAGTTGTGCATAATGGTATTGAGAAGACATTGTTGTGAAGTAACCTTTTAGAGGTTGAAACATGTGAGAGCAATTGAAAAGGGGTTGCATGTCAAACTGCAAATCGTCTTTTCTCGACCTTTACTGGTGTCTATGGCCATAGCAGAGGTCAAAGGGTGGACTCCACCTCTTTGATGCCATAATGTTGACCGCGCTCTCTCACTCAGCAGGTGCAGTGATCAAAAAGGGCTTTTTACTGCTTCTCTGTCTGCCTCACCGCCCCCCCCCCCCCAACCCTCACCATCCGTGAGACTGTGTCCGATTTTGTGCGAGTGTTTGTCAGCTTGGTGGCCAAATGCTTTCCCTTAACCTACACCTCTCTCTCTTTATAAATGCCTTTTTCCAAGACATATTTATAACGGTCGGAAAACTGTTTTTTTCTCACTAGTTGACAATCCCAATGTTGCCCCTGTTCCACTTATCATTAACTCAATTAGAAACACTGAGTGATAACTTTATCTGTTGCATAGAGGGGAACGCCCTGGGTTTTTTAAACATGCCATGTTTAACCATTTTCCCTGCAGTGAATTAAACTGTAAGGCAAAAAAAAACACATTATTTATAGATCTATGTAATGATAATAACAATGATTACATTAAAATATAGTATAATAAAGATAATATTTAGTATGTAAACATTTTTAAGAATCTCCGTCTTCCAAATAGTGTGGACAAATTCTTTGGAGTTTTATTTATGTTTTAATTTTGGGATTTCTGTGAATGCTTTCTATACTGCTCGCCCCGTGGTGACCCCGGTGAAGCCGACACACGTTAGTTAACGCGTTTTCTCTCTGTTTGAAAATTGTGACTCAAACGCGATCTCATGAAGGACATTTGTGAAAGGACTGAGCAGTAGTGTAGAAAGCATTACATCCTATGATTTAAAAGAGTATTTTAGGTCTAGTGAAATGCATAATGACTACATACAGTATGAGCATAAGTATGCAGAGATAAAAAGGTATATATATATAAATATAAAAATATATATGAAGTTTTGCTTTAAATTGAATAAAGTATATACTGATAAACAATATGATAGAGGTACAACTAAGGTGTTGAAATAAATGCTAAAATAAACTGTTGTCATTCTCGTTTCTCCTCGCATTTCCACATAATGATCCAATTTGAAGTGCCGTGTTTGAATTGAGTCATTTGGCAGCGGCTCTTCGCAGCCCTGCGGTGCTTGAACACAACATTGTTTTCGGGTCCAGGATTATATTCCCATCAGGCGCGGTGAGCTAATAGGACAAAAGAGTGGCGCTCACGGGAAGGGAGAAGATGAGATGGCTTAATTCAAAGCAAGCACTGGCTGCATCCATGCAAACACGGCTGTAAGGCATGAGAAACAATTGGAAAACAACTTGGAAGGAGATGAATATGGGATTGTTCGCTAGCATGGTGGCCACAGTGAGGTTCATGGAAAAAAAAATGCAAAATGCTGTTATTTAAAGTTTGTGCCAACTGTCAAGGTGGCCCCCTCTTTGTGTTTCCTTAAACCGGAGTCTGTAGCATTACAGATGTCAGGGCTCGTTTAGCTCTGTGGCGATGAAGCCACTTGCTGCCCTTTTTCACATAAATAGAGAGATGTAGACCATTCTTCCAAAAATATATCAAACTCTCCTATTTGTTTGAGAACTGCTGACTCCCACAGCATATCATCATCAAACATCTGCATTTGGTGTTTTTTCACTCATCAGGTTTCAAACAAATATAGTGTTTGTGTTCACAGTTATTGATGGAAAGATTACAATATTGTGTGATTTTTTTCGTTTAAAGAGGACATATTATACTCATTTTCAGGTTTCATATCATTATGTTGTGCCTCTAGTGACATATTACCATGCTTTAATGTTCAGAAAGCTCTTTATTTTTCTCATACTGCCTGTGCTGCAGCACCTCTTTTCACCCTCTGTCTGAAACCAGAGCCCAGTCTGCTCTGATTGGTTAGCTGGCCGGCTCTGTTGTGATTGATCAAACGCTTAGAGTTGTCCCGCCCCTTAGCCTTTAACCTATGTGTTGGAGCTTTAGCCAATAGATGCACGTTCGTTATATAGTGATGTCACTATGATAAGGAAGTAAAAAAAGGAATCAAATGGAGGCGTTTCAGAAAATTTACATTCACACTGAGACTGCCAAGGCACACGGAAAGGAAAATCCCTCAAAAGCATAATAGGACCTCTTTAAAGTGGAGTTATTATGCTCAGGGCCGCCTTAATGCACGGGCTGACCTGGGCTGAAGCCCAGGGGCCTACGGAGATTGGGGGCCTATCATGAGCCAATAAAAACCAAAAAAAATTAAATTTTAAATAAACAAAGTCTTGGCTTTCAGAATATGTAACTTTTATTTCCAAAATCACACGATAAATAAATATTTGAAGCTTGTAAAGGGAAGAAGACAGCTCTCCCTCGCCACTCTGCTGTTCCCCTCCCTCCGCTGAAATTATGAATGTAAGGCGTATAGTAATCATAGATAACAC